CTTAAATATCATACATCAGAGTCAAATAAGCAACCCCCACATGCATTCAGGATTCTGTCATTCTAAAATGATTAATTTTTTTCCATATATGGAGGAAGACTAAGATGCAGTGCCATTTTCAGATAAAAAATTCCAGAGGTATAATAAGGCAGGTTATATATCTTGTTCCTGGATTGGATTCATTTTTTTAAGGGATACAGGAAAAAAGTTACTGAGTGTGGTGGGTAGGATCTTAAATATAATGTTTAATGTTCTTGCCCTAGGAAATGAATGCATGTTAGACTGCTTCAGATAATGTTATCCAGAAGGATTGTAATTTTTTTCTGCTTATGTTACAGACCTCTCAAAGTGTTTATATTATAAATGTAATAAATAAAACCTCTAAATTATCAGTAGCTAACAAAGAATCAAATGGGGTCATTTGCATCAGTGAAAGAAATACATACAGCTGGAAAACTTGTGTACCCAAATACTAGCTCAAAGGAGATAATTCTGTTTTAAGCTTGGGAGAATTATAGGCATTAAAGGGTTAAATGTAGTTGCAGTGGAACTCAAAGAATTCACTACATTGCTAACTTTGAGTGTCAGGTGCTTCATAAAATAACATGTAAGAAATATTACACTCCAGGGTAACTTCAAAATTGTTTGTTTAAATTAACTTCATTTGGATTTATGCTCAAAGGAAATTTTAAGAGATTTGAGGCAGCTTCTCTAATGAAATGTTACATTTTTTAGCCAATAAGAAGGGTTGCCAAACTGTAAGAATTCCTTTTCCTTTCTATGAATAAGTAGGCTTGCATAATGTTACACTTGGGTGACACAAGCAACTGCTGGATGATTAGTTTATGACCTAGATCATTGTGTTTTTATTGCACTCATAAAAACCATGTTTCTCCTCATTTTCGTAATGGCTTCATTGAGCTGCTGTATCTTCTAAAGGCACATTAAATTGTCATGTGATGGAAAAAACAACTAGTCTGTCCAATCTTTTGTATGTGCACGTGTGTGTTTAGCATTAATAGCTTAAAAATAAAATATATAGTTTAGAATTTTTTGAAGTGTGTAAATTAATGGAACTGGGTGTAGTTTTTAAATTTTTTAGTGTTCCATTTTTGGGCAATTAATATTGGTGATGAAGGCAGAAAGCTGATTCTTATACAGCATTTACTGCTGTACATGTAACATATTTATTTATCATATTTATATAGCTGCCCATCTCACAGAAAAGCAACTTTGGCGGTGCACAATAAAAACAATAGTAAAATCAAAATATTAAAACAAGCACAATTAAAAAGACAGCAATATTATTAATAACAAGATGGTAGAGAAAAATTGGTGCTAAAAACAATGCAGCCATCTCATTAGATTACCATTTCCTTGAGATCCTCAAGCCTGCTGACACAGCCATATTTTGAGGGACTTCTGGAAGGATATCAAGGATGGGGCCAGTCTTACCTCAGGTGGGATGATGTTCCACAGGGTGGGCACCACGGCAGAAAAGGCCCATCTCCTGTGTCCTGCCAGATGAAATTCTTTCAGAGACAGGAACCACAGCATACCTCTTCTGCCAGAACTGATGGGATGGGCAGATGTAATCAGGTTGAGGTGGTCCCTCAAATAACCCAGCCCCATGCCATGAAGGGCTTTAAATGTCAAAAACAGCACCTTGAATTGGACTCAGAAGGAAACTGGCAACCAATGCAGCTCACAGAGCAGAGGTGTAACATGTGCCATTCTAGGAGCATGGAGCATACAACTAACTGCCTGCGCTGTTGCATTTTGCACCAGCTGAAACTTCCGGATACTCTTCAAGGACAGTCCCATTTAGACCTCATTACAGTAGTCTATCCAGGAGGTGACCAGGGCATGACCGACTGTGAGCAGAGCCTCCTGGTCTAGGAACAGGAGCAACTGACGCACAACACAAAGCTGTGCAAAAGTCCTCCTATAGCCATGATTGCCACCTGCTCCTTCAGCAGGAGTCACCAGTTTAGGAGGACCCCCAGGTTGCACACTGGGTCTTATTTGGGACAACGCACCCTATCCAGTATCAAAGTTGGCATAATCCCTGAACCGGAGGGCCCCAAACCCAGAGCCATTCAGTCTTGCCAGGGATCAGCTGAAGCCCGTTGTTCCCCATCCAGGCCTCCACAGCCTCCTGGCACCAGGATAGGTCATCAACAGCATCACTTAATTTGCCAGGGGCAGAAAGGTATAGTAGGGTATCATCAGTGTACTGATGATACCTCACCCCATAGCAGTGAATGATCTCACCCAGTGGCTTCATGTAGATGTTAAATAGGAGTGGAAAGAGCACCAAACCCTCTGGGACCCCACAAAGTAGGGGCTGAAGGCAGGATCTCTCCCCTCCAATCACCACCAACTGGAATCAACCCCAGAGAAAGGAAAAGAACCAGCACAATACAGTGCCACCCACTTCCAATCCCCAGAGTCAATTCAGAAGGATACCAGGGCCAGTGGTATTGAAGGCTGCTGAGAGGTCAAGCAGAGCAAAGATGGATGCACAAGCTCCATCCTGCTCCCACCAAAGATCATCCAGAAGTATGACCAATGCTGTTTCCATCCCATACCCAGGTTTGAATCCTGACTGAAAGGGGTCCAGATAATCAGCTTCATACAAAGTCCTCTGAAGCTGCTATGCTTCTCAATCCCTTTCTCCAAAAAGGGGAGGTTAGATACTGTGATGGTTTCTTGAGGAGGGGGTGGACCAGTGCTTCCTTAAGGGGCAGAGGAAAAACCCCCTCATTCAAAGAAATACCACCACTAGAACCCATCCACACGATGCCTCCCTGACAGCTTTAGATAGCAAGGAGGGGCATGGATCTAAAGAGCAGGCGGCCAAGCTCACAGTCATAAGGATCCTGTCCGCTTTCTCAGGCACAACAGGTTCAAACCATTCCCACATAACAGAGCAAGACTCTGCCCTGGGCATCTCCCTAAGACCTGCAAATAATAAATACTCATTGGCTGGATTCATTGAGTCAGTGGTGGAGGCTTGTTGTGTGAACCCATTAAGCAAGAGGAGGGGGACAGTTTTAATCTAAATTTATGTTGGGGCAATTAAGTTCCCAGTCACCTGGGTTGTATGAACCCCAAATCCTAATCAGTGGGTAATACTCAAATCCACTCCTCAGGCCTCTAAAGAAAAGAGATGGAGTTGTAGATGAAAACTGAAGTGCTCCATTATGAAACAGTGAAGCAACCATAAGATGCTGTTCTCAAATATTGATCGGTTGTGTTGCCTAAGCCACACTCACTGTTGCTTCCCTGGCCAAGGAGAAAGAAGCACCCATGAAGGGGGTCAAAACAGCAAATGTGGTGGTCATAGTGTCCCAATCAAAACCCCACCCCTTTATATGTGCGTACGGTGTCAATGCATGTATAGAAAGAGTAGGGTTCTCGTCACATTGCCATGACCACCTTCATGCCTGTTTTGATATACACACACGCACACATTGTAGATGGGAAGATGTTATGACTTAATGAAGCTTGATCCATACTTTCCTGATGCAAGGACTTCTGGGAGGCAGGACTGATGGAAGTGGGAACAGATTCTGTATATCCCCAAAGAGTGGTCCTCAGGATTGTGTGCTGCCAGATTCAGTGGCATGGAGCTATGATCAGTGTCTGACTGGGTTAGCATATTGTGTAAGCACAGCCAAAAATTTCAGTAGAATCGGAAAATCTCTTGCAGAGTTGAGGATAGGCACAATAAGTTACAAAAAAGAAAAAAAAAGGAAATATTAATTCCAAGCATTGCTGTGTTTCTATGTTTTGTCTTTGCTTAATGCTATCAAGTATTTTAAAGAAAATATTGTTTAAAATATCCTGTAAATAAATACAATGAAATCAAGATAAACATAAATCTGCATGGCACAAAAAAGGAAATTTTTAATTGAATATAACCTCTCTGTGCTGTTTATCTAAATACCCCATTTTTCTTGTTTACTCTATTTACATCTCAATGCAATTGCTTATAAACATTTCTGTGAAATAAATGTAACCCTTTGCACAAGGATCAGTTTCCTTTTCATGAGGTAATTTTATATGCTAATAAAAAGACAATCAAAACTGCATGCAAATATAGCATCTAAGTATGCCATAATAATGAAGAGTTTAATGATTACACAGATCCTTAAGAATTCAGTGGAGGGTTTTTGTTCAACAACTATCTGGATATACTATCCTGACTTGTTTTAGTGCTCCTCTAAATAACATCCTGCAAACCTTTAACTGTCTTAGATTCTTTTTTTTTTTCCACTTTAATCTAGCAGAATAATTAAATTGTTGAAATTTCACTGTTCTCATATATTGGTAATAGCTATGTATTTTGAGAGGATATATAAACTAGGAAGTTTGCATTATCTTTTATATGCTATTATTTTATCTGTCTAAACAAATCCAGTAAAACCTGTTGCTTCTTTGCTTAAGAGTAGACTTGCTGCTTTCTGATAGCATGATTTAGGCTCATTTTTGGGAGGAGAAGCAATGTGAATATTCTTAATCTTATTAAGCTGTTGTGTTACTGAACATGCAAGCAGCATTTCTGTTGGACTTACCATGGCAGAAATTGCTACTGTCTTATTAACCACAACGTATGCATATTAGTTTTTCATACAGTAAACAAATATGATGCAGCAGACCTATTAAATCAGCATCTAGTGTATTTTTTTCTAAATTAGAACTGTAAATGTGAAAAAGGACTGAACATAATTTTAAAGATAAGCATTAAATCTATTTTAGAAGTATTTGTAGAAATTCTTTGGAGATTCTTTAATATTTCATGTGAACATACAAGATACGATTTCAGTTTATTCAAAGATTTGGAAGCAGCTGCACGGAAAAATGTCTAATGAAAATGAAATACGTTTCCTGTGAATGGAATAAATTTCAATTGTGTTTCTGAGTGCAGTAATTATACATGTCATGCAGTAATTAGGCAGTCATAGCGCGGCCATGGTGTCTTTCTTTGTCTGCAGATGGTCTGGGAAAACGGCTGTGTTGTTATTGTCATGCTGACACCCCTTGCCGAAAATGGAGTCAAACAGTGCTACCACTACTGGCCAGATGAAGGGTCAAATCTCTACCATATCTATGAGGTACTTAAACAAAATATCTGCTTGTAAACCTGACAGTAAGTGTGCGGTTTGGTTTCATACAGAGGAAAATATTGCTTAATGGGATTTGACCTGCAAACCGAGCTGAGGTCTGCCATAAAATGCAGTCCTGCGATTTTTGAATCATTTCAGCTTCATTGAAAATTCTATGCTTGATAGCATGATTAGCAGAAAAGCAGTTCGGTGCAGATTTTCAGTAAGTATACAGCCAAAGCATTTTCAGAATTTGCTTTTTCTTCCTAGGTTTTTAAAATACAAATAAGAAGGGAATTAATATTCATAATAGCATTGTACTTACAAATATTTAACAGCTACAGTAGATTCCACAATTTATATCAAAATCTCTACTTATTCTTTTGGTAATTAA